GCATATACCTTCTGAACACTTTTTCAGAAACACATGGCAAAACAGGAATTTGAGGTGAAATGTACAAGAAATTAAGATTTATTTTTTTTCTCACAAATATTTATAATGATATTTCAAAGGATGCTGGAACTTTTGTTTGATTCCAAAATGTAAGTGCTATTTATGCTATAAATACATGTACTGAGGCAAAAAATGGGCGCATACATAGTTTTTTTAGAACTCTCATCTTGGATTTCTATTATCTGTGCCAATACACTAGAACTGTGAGAAATACTTTCTGTGTAATTGCTGAAGCAGAGGTGGAAAAATTACTGGAAGGTGTTACATATTACATTTTCACTGTCCAGGGTTGGCATCTCATTGTGCGAGAAATTTGATGTCATGCAGAGTTAACACTGGAAAAGCTTAATGATGTTTATAGTTAGAGTTTGCTCGTACATATGAACATGTAGGAAACTGCCGTCCATAGGCAAAAAAGGGGCACATGAGGCAACCTGCACTGGACAACTAATGGGGATTCTTGAGGCTTATGTATACGGGGACTGTAAAGCAGTGGAGTATAGAAAGGACTCTAGAAAAAGTACAGCCAACTTCCAGCACCTTTTGTTTGTTTAATTTTACCGGTTTTCCCCAATCAGTTTTGCACGTCACGTTTTCCCCTCTCCGTTACTTGAGTCATAACCAGTTACGGTTACGGTGTTATTTTTGCAGTTAACACTGTAAGAAATTGTTGTTGCTGCTGTTTCTCACTTGCTTATTCGGGTAGGACAGTTATTAACCGTTTTGTCACCTAGCGTAGGGGAGGATGTGGGTGGCGCGTGAAGGCATGGGGGTCCCTGAAGCTCCTGGTGGGCACTGCAGACTTAACTGAAAACACCACGTGGTTTTGTGATTTAAAACAAGAGACTGCTTTCAGCTCAGATGAATGCCAAGCGATGGGGAGGGACAAAGCAGACTTCCAGGCAAAACTATGCCCATAACAAAATAAAAACCCGTGCCTGGACAATGACTGTTTCCTGAATCCATGTTACTGCTCAGGAAAAGGACAATGGGTTTGGTTTGGGCAGCTTTCTGCAAACGCCTGCCTGTGCTAGTTTGAAAAAATAGTTAGAAATTATTATGGAAAAGGAGTAGAGGACAAAAGGTTTGAATATACCACGTTATAAATCCCCATCTTGAATATTGTGTGACATTTTGGACCCTGTTCCAAGATTTAGTAGAAAAGGGGAGGCATGGAGGAGAATGACAGCCTTGGTCTGCTTCCAGAAGAAGAAAGGGTAAGCAAGATTGGGACTAATGAACCTGGAGAAGGGATGTGATGAAAGGGATAAAGTGAAGATATACGTTGTAGAACTTACTGCCAAAAGATACTTCAGAAGACAAAACCATAGTGGTTTCAGAAGTAAATTGGACAATCCCAGCGGGAATAAGGATTTAATTATGTGGGCTTGGGTGCAGCCAGTGGTTCTGGACATGCAGATTTTAAGAATTGCTAAATTCCTGGTGGCTGGAGTTGGGGGAAATGCTCAGGCAGCACGTTCACACCTCCCATCTTCTTGCACTTGTTCCTTAGACATCTGTGCTAATCCTTTCAGAAACAGCCTACTCTGTCAGACAAACCTTTGAATGGAGAGTACCAGCGCTCGTCCAGGTGTACTTGAAAATAAGCATGCTAAAGAGGCTTAGCTGGTTTTGGAGCACCTGCTTGGATGTGTCCCAGTATTGTTGGAGGGAGGGAAGTGTCTGTATTCAAGGCTTGCTATGTAAGCTAAACTGAACCTCTCAGAAATTCAGGAGGTGGTAACTGGGAGGCACGAATAGCTTAGAGAGGAGCGTGGGATTTTGACTTTTGGATTGTTGTGAAGTTGCACGTTACTTGGGTTGGTTTTAACTCTGTTTATCTGGATGTCTGGCGTTGTGCATTTTCATCGTTACCCTGCTCGTGTTTTCGAGAGGTGCCTTTTTTTTTTCCTGTTTTCTGCCAGTGGAGTGGGAATGAAGACACTTTTGCTGTTCTGTGTTTTGTGTCTTTGAGCAAGACCAGTTCCTTTTTTATCTTTGGGTTAATGTTTTTTTTGCTCTTCCTCAGGAGAGCAGCTGCATGAAAATGTGACTGTTACCAGGTTTTGATCAGCAGCTGCAAAACCAAGTAGTCCTCTTAATTTCATTTTGCATCTGTATGGTGAAGCTTTGTGCAGGAGGAGTATGGTTTCAGCTTTGAGAAGATCACATTACATTAATAGTTGGCATTGGAAGGGTTTTTTGTAACTATATGAGCAGTTTGTTTACCTCTTAAACAACATAGTTCTGCATTAGTTTACAATATCCAGGTTAAACTGCCTTTTTTCCAAGCCCTTATTGTTTTGGAAGGCTCAGTTTAAAGGAGGAGTGCTGTGGTGTTTTGTTTGTCTTTGTTACGCTATCTTTATTGAGGTATTAAAATGCAGAGCTGCTTTTGGTTTGCTACGAAATCTGTATTTTAACATTATAAAATACAGTTGCAATTAACCTGAAAATAAGTAACCTCACTGCAAAAGTTTCATGTGGGGGAATCTATGGCAGTAAAGTTAAATCTTCCAGTCTTAAGGAGCCTAAAAGTGTGTTTACCAGATTGGACGTAGAAGACTTCTTCCACTGAACTGCAGCTGTCCCTTGTTTGTGGTTTGAAACTGCAACTATTGACAAGTGCAGGCAGAATTTATACAAAAAATCGGAAGGCCTCTTTGCCAATTCAATAAGCATGAAAAGTGGTGTGGGGTGTTTACGTCTTGGTCTCTTTGCCAAAAGTTCTGTCTCCCAAAATGTATAATCATTGCCGCTTACATCTCAAAAGTGATTTTCTGGTATTTGAGTATGTTTTTGGAAGTATGAGTCGTGGGAAAAGACCTACTCATAGCTCTTATACAAGTTTACTGACTCTTGGGTTTTTTTTGGCTTAGTCTAGTCTATTGTGCTCTCCTGGTTCTCTGCTTTTTTCACAATGACAGAAGCCATAAAATCTTGGATCTGGTTTAGAAATTAGAGGTGTTTTCAGTTGTTTTAATTTACCTTTTCTATGGCAAAGCGAACCATTAAAGCCATTTTTCCACTTAGTCTTGTGTTCCTAGTGAAATACAATGGTGCTGTTCCTGCAAATTCTGAATTCTTTTAAAGGAATGTAATCAATGTAAGGTGGTTTAGAAGGCCAAAGTATCAGAGACATCCCTCATCAGCTGCTTATTTGGTCTGCATCAAATTTTGATTTATTCTGCTGCAATGAAAAAATTTGATAAGAGGTGAAAATTTAGGAATAAATATGAAAATTCTGTGATGTTATTTAATATTAACTTTACTTTTCATTTTGTTTACCTCTGTCTCTGATCACAAACAGAATTCAATTTCTTGCTTTTCACTTTAAACAATTGACAAACCTTGAGTTCTCTTCACAAATGCTAAGGATTAAATCCCTAATTCACCAATAAAGACCCTAAGAAGCAAAATAAAACCTTGTTATTGTATAGCTCCTTTGACAGACAACTTGCCTAATTAATCATAACAGATTTGTAACCAAAGATTCATTTATTTTAAAATATTTGATATAAAGACTTCATTTATATCTGCAGGCAGTTCCTGAAATAACAGGAAAATCATGTAGTGTTCTAGGGTTTAAGTTAGTTTTTCTCTTAATATATTTCTCATACTTCATGTGGATCTAAGTAAGCAGCATTTGAATACAATTGGAGTGTGGAGATATAGGATATTCCAGTTATTTAGGTCAGCCTGGTTGATGTCTACCCTGGACATGCATTTGAAGTCTTTTAGTTAAAACTCACGGCACGGCATGTTATTAGAACGTTAGAAATGCAGCTTCTTCACAAAAATAATACTGAATTAACCAAGATCCATCAATGGCATTTCATTAACAATTTCTGGTTTAACTGTACTTTTTAAGACCTCATATGCCTGATGTGCTGAAGTACCTGTTTGTGAGACAAGGGCTGCGGGATTCCAGTAGGTTTTAACAGACTCAGACCTCAGTTTTCAGGAAAAAGCTTTCAAAACTTTCCTATCCTGCAAGACATTTTTCCAGCATTTTAACTCTACTGCCCCCTCCCCCAGTGCATACTTCCATTACTTTAATCTGACAGATTGCATGGAGACTTTACATGAAGACTTTAACATACAGATGGGTTATGCATCTAAGGTGTTCTCCTATTCTCTCTTACAAGTGCCAATTATTTGGTATTATGTTTCTAATGTAGAATACAGAAAAACCTGTCCCTTCTGTGTCATGAGGAATGGGCTGTTTACTTGCATGCCCTCAAATTCTGCCTATTTAAGTAACTGGGAACTAGACCAGAAAGACATAATGCTCTATTTGCCAATTCTAATAGCAAAAATTGTTTAGACTTGAGAAATATCTCATTGTCTATGAATCCATTAAATATCCATTACTGTATGGGTCTTGTTTCCCTCTCAAAGAAGGGTAGTCAGTATTTCTTCATTTCCATTTTCCTTTAGAGTATTATGCTTTATATGATCTTGTCAATCAAGTTCTTTATTTGGCTTTTTGTGTCACTTTCTTCCATCTATTAACTTCTCGTGGCATTCGAAACAAAAGGCTTCTGCTTTCTCTTTGCAGTCTTGGTGCTGCTAAAGGAGTTAAAGATGTCGGAAAGGGAGAAAGCAGAGCATCAACCTACTGAAGTACATTGGTATTAGGAATGTTAAATAAACCTTTCCCTCCTTCTAAAAATAAGTATATGATGATTGGTGTATTTGGCCTGTTTAAGATGTATTTTCTTACAACTGTAAAATAAATTTGTTGGATCCCTTTGTCACTTTAGTTTTGCTCTGTGCATGGAGTCTATTTCTGTAACATTTCAGTTCCAGGGGACTGAATTTCATCTTTACTGTGTGTTCTTAATATCACTAGCCTGTTTTTGTGCTAATAGGGATTTTGCAATTGTTGACCCAGTATAATGTAATTATTAGAATGTTATTATTTAAACTGTTTCCAGGTACATCCACCTTTATGGAAGCATTAGCAGCCAATGGTACAACCAACATACAGACGTCTGTGACAGGAGTCACAGCCAGCAAACGAAGGTTTATTGATGACAGGAGAGATCAACCTTTTGACAAAAGGCTACGTTTCAGCGTGAGGCAGACGGAGAGCGCGTACCGGTACAGAGACATTGTTGTCAGGAAACAAGATGGATTCACACATATTTTGCTATCGACAAAATCATCTGAAAATAATTCACTAAATCCAGAGGTCAGAACAATTCAGATTTTGGGGGATAGGGTGCTGGGGGAGTTCCAAGTCCTTGCCTCATTTATCCCTGTTATTCGGGCACAAACGTACACAAAACAAGGTTCACATTGTGGCTTGCAAGATGTTAAATTGAACTGAATTACACTTAAAATCAGTTGTTTGTGTAAGAACTGTGTTATCTGACCATGGAGATGTACTGTCTTTTGTACGACGTGGTGATTTATGAAGTGCACCCTGAAACAAGCTTTAACCTGATTTAAGGTTCTGTTTTTTTCTGAACTGGTTGCATGTGCCACCTGCTGTCCAAATTGCGGAAATGCTGAATGAGAGCTTTAGGTTGCAGATAGCATTTCATGGATCTGTTCTTAATGATTTCATTATCTTTGTCTAATTACATTTTTGAAATGCAAAGCTTCTCATACCATTTATTTATTTATTTATTTAATGTTCTTATGTTTGGGTAATGAAAAAAGTGAACTTTTCTAATCTGCTGGTTGAGTGGATCCTAAGGAGAAATTAAAGCTCTCAGAGGGAGGAGGGGAGGAGAACAATGTGCTACTTTTTAATAACGGAATAAAAAGTTTCTAATGAATTTTTGATTTTCAGGTAATGAAGGAAGTCCAGAGTGCACTGAACACAGCAGCTGCAGATGACAGTAAACTCGTTCTGTTCAGTGCAGTTGGTAGCATTTTCTGCTGTGGTCTTGATTTTATTTATTTTATACGACGTTTAACGGATGATAGAAAAAAGGAAAGCACTAAGATGGCAGAAGCTATTAGGTATGTAAGTTTATCTTCAGTCGTCTGAGTGGGTATTCTTCATGTAGTGGGGCTTATCTTTATTTCAAAAGCCTCTAATTCAACAGGATCCCAGACACTCCCCTGTTATGTGCTGTATTGTGCTGCACTTCTTTATATTTCCTGTCCCTTCTTATTTGGGTTGCCATTTAATGCATTGCTATTTTTACTACTAAAATTTACCTATGAAAACTGTTAGTATGGTAATACTCCTCCAGTTGAAACCAATTTTAAAAGATTTAAACAGCTATAAGGCTTCAAGAAAACAAATTTAACACATGCAAATACCAGATATGCATTGACTGTGTAACTTGGTATAGTACATTCAGAGCAGTGGAATGGTGGATATTTTAGAGGAGTAGACTAAAACTAGTGACCATCATCCCAACACTAGGTACCAAACCTAATATTTAAAGAAAATTAACTGAACTGCTACAAACTAGAAGAATATATATGGAAAAAAGCATGGATCTTAGGGACATGTTTAAATGGTACAAACAAGTAGTTTAGTTAATCATTTAAACACTGGCTTTGAGGGCCTGGGCTCTTAGATTAGCTCTGTTATGTTTCCAGAGCATCTGTATTCCTTCAGAGACCAATATTCTGTTGTCATTATCAATATTCATGTCCCTAAAGAAGGCCTTCTGTTTCATTGGAGGCGCATTTGGCTCATAGAGAGATGATAATAGGTGCGGTTTGTTGTTTCTGGTTGGTTGGGTTGGGTTTTGGGTGGGTTTTTTGTTGCCTTTTTTTTTTTCTCCCCCAGATGAAATATTTCAGTCATTCCAAGTAAAAGTTGCTCATGCAGTGACTTCAGATGCAGCCAGAGGACAGAGGCTTTTAACACTGAGCTTCTGTCACTAGTTGTAATTCAGTTCCATCCAGAATCCTGATTTGTCACCTATTACTCGTTGTTAAGAAAATGGATAAATGGAACTTTTAAACCCCCCCTTCAAATACAAGAATGGTATTTTTCATATATATGCTAAGATGGTCATCTCTGGAATATTCAAATGTGATTAAAATTATCTCAAGTCTCTGAATTGGGAGTGTTTGTGTGATGGATTGTATAAGATTGTTCCAGCAGTTTTTCAGCATTCACCTACTTCAGCTCGCTAGGGTGAGTTGAGCATGATAACCTGTAGTGATGAATGCAATATAGTAGAAGTGTTCTGTTTCACCGAAATGCAAAACCAGCCATTACGACACTAATTACTGGCCTCCAACTAGTCTTGGTGTCGCTGTTCACCACCCTCTGGGCCAGCCATTCAGACATTTTTAGTCCTCCACGCTGTCTGCTCATCCAGCTCATACATCAACAGCTTGACTGGGAGAGTCTTGTGGGAGACAGTGCTGACTGCCTCGCTCTGAAACCTATGTAGACAATACCCACTGCACTCTCCTCATCCAAGCTAACCACCTCATCATGGAAGGTTATCAGGTTGGTGTTGAAAGTAATGTTACTGTGGACATGAATTCTTACTAAGTTTTCAAGGGCTGCTATATTTTACTCTCTATAAATACATAGTGAGTACATGTTTCTGTTTCTCTTCAGGAATTTTGTGAATACTTTTATTCAGTTTAAGAAGCCTATCATTGTAGCAGTAAATGGCCCAGCCATTGGACTTGGAGCATCTATATTGCCTCTGTGTGATGTGGTTTGGGCTAACGAGAAGGCTTGGTTTCAGACACCATACACTACTTTTGGACAAGGTCCGGATGGATGTTCATCCCTTACATTCCCTCGGATAATGGGCCTGGCTTCTGTAAGTAGCTTGCAGAATAGGGGCAATGCAGTTGTGATGACTTATCCAGAGTGATTTCAAGACTTTTTGACCTTTGCTGAGTTGCCGTTTTTTTCTCTCATGAAAACCTTTCATGAGAATCCAGTACTTACAGCTTCTCTGCTCCATGCTGTTGCAACCTAGTCTTCACCTGCATGCACAGAACCAAAAGCAGGGACCTAATCCTATGTCATGGGCACCTTTGGCAGTGGCAGAAGGGTTATATCCTGCATGCCAGGACACACCTTCCTTGCTGTTGCCTTGTAAGGACCAGCCACCAATATCTTGCATTCAGCACAGCATCCAAGCGTAGCAGAGAATGGGCTGCTCTGCACTCAGTGTCATTACACAGCAGAGCGCTGTGGCACCAGCTCTCGGCAGTCTCCTGCTGATCTGCAAAATAAGTAATTCTGCTTTTGTGCACTCGTTCTCAAGAAGTCGTGTTGAACTTGCTCACTTTGCGCATCTCTGCTGATGTTTCACACTAGTGCATTATGGAAGAAATACTCAGCCCAAATCACCTTTGCGGAGGGTTATTTACGGTTTATTTTGTTTTAGTCTTTGGACTCCATTTCCAGTATTGCTGGATTGAAAAATGGAAAAGTTTTGCACTGTTGCTGAAAACATAAGCCACATGCTTCTTAATATCCCTTTTCTTGCTTTCCAATTGGATGTGAGAATCAAATTAACAAAAAGCTATTTAAAAATCTCTTGCCTACATTCTTTTCATGTTACTTACTATTTTTTATGCCGTGTTCTTTGAAAACTTTGACCTATGCCCCATCCCAGTTTGAAATTGCACAGTAACAGTATGAAACAAGAGCTTGTAGCTACACCTGGTTTTCCGAAATTACTGTCTATTATAAAAGCAAATTTTTCTCTGTAGGTATTTACTGATTTAAAATGGAGATTTTGATACGTTAAAAGCATCGAGTTCTAATGCGCTTGATCTAATGACTAACTCACTGTATGATGTCTGGATTTAGTTATTAGAAGAGAAAAGGTAACTGGAATAGATTAACAGTTATAAGAGTAGCTTTAATATCTTAGCAAGTTTCAAACAACTGATTGTTCCTTTCCCTTTTTATTTGGCCATCCATCCATTCATCCATACATTCCATCCATCCCTGTCCTTTAGAGACTTGTGGTTGTAGCTTTTTGTTTCTTTAGAAGATGTACAAGAAACACAAGAAGCTCTTCCCTAGTATACGCTTTCATGTGTGTTTGTGAATGCTCTCATTTTTAAATACAAAGATTTAAACTGAAAGCTTCCAGTAGCAACAATTCCGTAGTTAGTGCAGAAGGGGACAGGGTGAGTGGCCACTGTTGTACTATACTCAGCTCTCTGCAGGGTCAGTTGTGGCTGGTGAGCAGCTCTGTTGTGGAGGGGTTTTTCCACAGAACATGTTCAACAGAGGTTGTTATTACAGGATAACTGAAGCCCAGACCTTAGGATTCAAAACTGATGCTGTACTGAGAATACCAAGGATTTTAGAAGGATTCTTAAACTTAGCTTTTGAAAATAATCTATCACAGAGATTAAGGTGGTGCCTGTCTGGGGAGATCTGTTATTGTGCGACTGCTGTGGAGTTCTTGCTCTGGTTTTCTGGTCCTGGATCTAAAGCACAGGAGCCATGTGCTCAAGCTTCCCACGCTGGGTTTCCCTGCCAGTCTGCAGCTCACTTGGCAGTGTTTCTCATGCTCTTCTGTCAGTCAGTCAGGATATGCATTTCCAGAGTGCCTGCAGTCCACATCACAGACAGGGGCTCAGGTGGTTCAGAGCCTCCTGATCATAGTGCAAGAGAGTCAAGATGCTCCTCAGAAGCTAGTGCCTGTGGGCTTGCACAGAAGTTCCCCTATGAGCCTCAAAACACTTGCTGTAAAAGAGAGATCAGAGGATGTCCCTGTGAAGTTCCTCTGTGGAAGGAGAAGACCAAATAGAAAATTAAGGTTGTTAATGAGAATCTTATATTTATGAAATATTTTTATCACCATCATTTCTATTGCTGTATTATGTGGCTTGCAAAGTAACCACCAAGTGTATTATTTTTCACAGCAGACACAAGGTGTGATTATTGGATTAAAACTTATTTAGCAGTGGGTCTCCAACACATGTTGTGTATAGATCAAAAGCGGGGATGCCAGAGCAAAACATTTCCCTTCAAAGCCTGTCAACTGTGAAAACCCATAGGACCACTCATTTCGTGTGAGGCTTCCTGCTACTGCTGTGTTACAGCTGGCAGAAGACAGGCACCTGCCCCAGTATCACTTGTGGGGCTTCATGTTGCTGCTGAGTTCTAGAAAACAAATGAAGGTTTTCTAGCACTTGTTTTTATCCTGGTTACCAAAAATACATGTGAAGAATGTGCAGACCTGACCAGCTGATTTAAATTTCTGACTTTCCTAACTCCAGTTGGATTGATTTCACATTTGGATCTTTGACATAAATGTGGAGTAGCTTTTGAAATTATTTTGGAATAACTTTTTTCCCCGTATTTCTATAGGAAAATAATTAATTCCTGTTCTTAGACAAACTTGTGTGTAGCACAGATGGTTTTTTAGCTAGTGTTTCAGGTTATTCACGTGTAATGTGGAAAATCAGAAGGAGACTCATGATAGTTAATAAACCTTGTAAATCTGATTTTGCTTTCAGAGAAGGTAGAACTAAACAGGCATGTAGGTTGTATCCTTAGATCGAGGCTTGTTTTATTAAAATGGATATATGTGAATCCTAACTTCCCATATTAACTCCTGAGAAATGTGCTGCTGGTAAATTTTATGGACTGGGAGTCAGCAACCCGACTGCCAGTAGAACCCAGACTTTGTATTTTGTTACAAAGGGGCAAGTAATAGACCTCCGAGTTTCCAACTTGCTTCATGTGTAAAATGGCAAAACTGGGAACAGTTCCTGCAGCAATTAGGTCATTTTGAGATCCTTAACTGAAAGTTGCTGTAATAATTGCCAGAATTTCCAGTATTAGAAAACATAACAAAACCTCCAAATTTTGTCCTCAGAAATGCTGCACTTGTCAGGTTCAGAATTCATTGCCCAGATTTCAAGAGTCCGGTGATGGTTTTGGCATATTTTCGATATAAATTAGTCATAAAGAAACAGTGGTACTCATTTTCATTTGGGGTTTCTGAGGTTGGCAGTTACTCTGTCTTTATCTTCACTGGCTGTTTCCATGCAGATACCACGGCAAACAAAATGTTTAACTATGTAAGAAACTTCATTAAAGGTAGAATTAAAGTGTAAGTGTAAATGGTTGTAGGATGAAGCTTTAATGGAGAAGCTGATAAATAGTCAAGTGTATTATAATTACATATAAAAAAATTCTAGAGAACTAGAGATAACCTTGTTGCACAGAATGTAGTACTCTGTTCTGTACCTTTCAACTGTGGTCAGAGCTTTTAAATACTGGTTTGGGGGTTTTTCTTTTTAATTAGACTGAATGTTTATTTTCCATAAATTTGATCAGAAATTGGACTACATCCTGCTCAGTGCAGTGGGGTTTGGAGGTCAAATTCTAAGGTGATCCAGGTATTTTAAATGTTGCATTATAAATTAAATCCTGCTGCAGGCTTTGGAGCAGTGCTGAAAATAAACCACATTGAGTACTCGATACTAAAAAAAAAATTCAGTTGCAAAACGTTACCTGTTCTTGTCTGCCAAGACTAGCAGTTCCCAGGAGGTCTGCTACCAAAACTGGGTTATCTTTATCATTTACGGATAGATTTTAGCACAGATTTCATTGCTGCAACGAACACTATTACAGAGGGCAAGCCAATGTCTTCGTTACTGCTTTACAGATCTGCCGGGCATTGTAACCTATTACCACATAGTTAATCAAGTGAGCAATGCTGCAAGATAGCTAGAGCTAATGAATGCTCAAAGCCAGTTTCACATTTAACCCTTGATCACAGACCTCCGCTTTTTTTGTAACTCCTGCCATAGTATAGTAAACACCACCAGCTGCCTATCTATATGCAAGTCTTTATTCATTAGAAGTTGGAAGAGCTATAATAAAACTATTTCAAATAGTGCAGGCATTTTCCGTATTTGTTTTGAACATTTTTCCTTTAATGAGTTTTGTCTCATTACATTTCATACCAGAAGTAACTTTCTATCCCTTCAGGCCAATGAAATGTTGTTCAGTGGAAGGAAGTTGACTGCACAGGAAGCTTGTGCCAAAGGACTCGTCTCTCAAGTGTTTTGGCCGGGAACATTCACACAAGAAGTAATGGTTAGAATCAAGGAACTGGTCACATGTAACTCAGTTGTAAGTTTCCTTTATTTTCTTGCAATACATGCTTATGATTAGATTAATAAGCATTAATCTAAGTATTACTAGGCTACATCATTACATCCTTCTGAAAAAAAGACCATTTTCATGAAATAAGTACAGCATTTTAGTATAGCACTGTCTTTTTATTTCCTGGGTTTTGAGGACTGCTCTTTCAGTTTGTATCAGACTCTTGCCATATGCCATAGTACACATTGGTTATGAAATTGAAAACAGCATTGGACTCTTTACAATATACTTGTGTTTAACATAGTTGCCTAACTTATTCTAATCAACCATGTAAACAGTTGCCCTAAGTACTGCACAGAAATCTTTCAGTTGTAATATAATGTCTTGAGTTATAATAACATAGATTACTAGGAAAGTAAATGCAGTCTTTGACATTATGTTGAACTTAATTTTACTACAAAACGCCTAGAATAATGTGGATCGGAAGGGACGTTCAAAGGTCATCTAGTCCAACCCCCATGTTTGGTTGCACTACTGGCTGTTGCACAATAGCCAAAACTACCCATATTTAATCTTATGAGAAGAGATGAAGCACAGATTAACTGTTCTGTGCATTGGAAAATTTGGATTTTGAAATGGATCAATAGCTTTCTAAATGGAAAAGCAAGTGAGATTTTTCAGCCTCCTTTGAATGCCCAAGATTGTTAAGGTCTGCCTGCTTATTGGAGCAGTTCCGGATAACACTATTATGATTAGATGTCACCAAAATGAAGTTGGAGTTTTCTCTAGTTATCAGTATAAAATTATATATATATATTCATGGTTACAATTTTACTATTTTCATCATTTCCACATTTTTGTGTACTTCTTAACTGTGAAGTGTTTCTTAGGCTTGTAGGTTGATAAGCTATGTATGATAAGCTTAGGTTCATAATCAACTTCAGGATGCATCCACGCAACCTGTAAGTACACATGTAATGCTAACAAAACACTCCTTTATTTTGTTTGTTTGTTTGGCCCAGGTACTTGAAGAATCCAAAGCTTTAGTACGCAACATCATGAAGGTGGACTTGGAACAAGCAAATGAAAAGGAATGTGAAGTTTTGAAGAAAATCTGGGGCTCAGCACAAGGAATGGACTCAATGTTAAAATATCTGCAGAAGAAAATTGATGAGTTCTGATGAGATGCCCATTGACACTGGAATTGTATTTCTGGGACATCAGGGCAAACGTAAAGTGCCCATTTAAAAAAAACTATATAAACTAACCCCTTGCTCAGCTTGGGAACAGGAGTGGACACCCTCCCCTTTTATTGTCAAGGGGTTTAAAAGTACTGTATCACTTAAATCTGAACAAAACTCCTTTCTCCCTGATTGTTACATATAGATATACACACACACACACAAGTGTATGTGTGTGCATATATATGTCTTTTATATATATATATATAAAATGTAATATGTGTGTGAGAGTGTGTATGTAGACACACGCACACAAGCTAAAAAAAAAAAAAGATAGAGTGCACTACCAAACATCTCTTTAAAGGCTCTAGTTTTTGTTATCTTTGGCTAGTACTGTATCAAATAGAGAATGGATTAAAAAGTGAATGGTGTTGCATTATTTTCTGTGTGGCAGGGAAGTCTGGAATAATGCTTTTCTTGTTCATTAGATTACAGCATTGAAACGGGTATTAGCCAGCCCTTACTTTCACTGCCCAAGGAGTCAGCGAAGATAGAAGGCCTTGTCTTAGAAGAAGGTTGAAATACCTCAAGCAATGGAACATTGTAAAATGTGGGGTAATTAAACCCTGTTAAGCTTACATCACATATATCCCCAAAAAGAGAGTGTGCTCAGGATTATTGCTAAGAAAACACTCTGTCCTTTTTGGGGGGGAGGTATAGAGGGGTGGGAGGAAGAGGGCAGGAATACGTTTAATTCTTACCCAGATAACATGAAGAAACCACTGTCTCTTAGGGAAGGGGAATGAGGGGAAGCGGGAGGGAAATGGAAGGGGAAAGAAAGAAAAAATAAAAAAGAGCTTGTTTTGCAGTATTAGTGAATCACTGAATATCTTCTGTATGACTATCCTAAGTTATAAGTTAGTTTTAGTGGGGTTTTTAAAAACGTCTCTGAATTTGGGATTTTTTTGTTTGTTTTCTTGCTTTTGGGGTTTGGTTTTTTGTTGTTTTGTTTGGTTGTTGGGTTTCTTTTTTAATAACTACATAAGTGCTTCTGTTGCTGGGTGAGAATACTACTTTATATACAGTTTGGATTTTGTTTTTGGTTCTTTTTTCCTATTTGCTGGTTTAATTGATGTATTACACCAAAAATGCATTTTATGTTCATAAATTTTAGGTTCACTTAGAATATATTATTTAATAAGTTAAAATTCTTTTGGCACACTATTACGTAAAAAATGAAAAACTCCTTTTTAAAAAAAAAACAACTACCTTATATTAGATGTTTAATGTTCTTTGTCTATGCTTTTTTATTATTTTAAATATACACTATATACGGTATGGTGTAAAAGAGTGCCCTGTGTAAATAGACCTATTTTGCATTCCTTTCAGGAGTGGTTATTGATTCCTGACTGCAGATACCTATTATTACTTGGGTATCTGTGCTTGCAATCTTATTGAATGTATTATGAAGAATGAAAAAGAAATCAAACCTTATTTTTGTACAGTTTTGAAGTTTTTACTTGGAACTGACCCACCTCCCCTTCCCAGTGGAGAGCTGTACAGTGTGTAAATCTGCCTTTACCTTGGATTGGTACAGTATTTTTGCATCTGTGGGACCTACTTCTTTGTTCTTAGTAGTTTGAACTATATATAACTGTACAATCTGTAAAGTTTTTATAGAATAAATATTCAGCTGTGAAAACTGGTTAAATAAAACTAATATTTCTTAACACATTTTAAATGTGGCTCGGTCCTAGAGTTGTCTTTTTCAAGGACATTTCAGTTCTGATTTCAAAGTAAGAGTTGCTGCAACAAATCTTGCAAATGACTTTGATATTTATGTTTTATTTTGTTAATCTTTTATCAGCTCTTAATTTCCATCAGATGAAAAGTTGAAAATTAATTTATTGGTGGTAACTATGTAGAAGTTTTCTCCTAGAGGCAGTAGATGGGGAAGATGATATACAGGTAGTCATTCTGCTCTCAGTTTTTGTGTTACACTTCTAAAATAACATTCAGGAAATGTTTCTTTGCAATCTCTTAGAAATGAGTGACTTTCCCTACAATGCTGTGGTAAAGTGTGAGAACTCCTTAGTTAGATTTGGTTTTATTGAAAAGTAGAAGGAAAGATACCTTACCTACAGTTCTGTATAGTTAAACCGCGTGGAGTTCAGCTCAAATTTATATAAAGATCTCTCCTCTAGCATCTCTAAGAAGCATTTAGACATAGATTGCACCTGGTTTGGAGTCACAGCCTCCCAGCAGCAGTGGTACTTCAAAAATGGCTTTTCTACGTTAATTCTAGTACTGATGTGTGAGCAACCTGTACCTGGAGAAGGAGAATATTGGAGTATCATGAATTATTGGAACTGGGTGCAATGCAAGAACATAGAAACAGTATCTTTCTGAATTGTGCCCAAGAGAACTTCTGTATACTTCTGTAAACAAGGAAAATGTTTTCCCCAGTTTTTAACTCCTTCAGATATGAAAGCAAACTAAAGCCACGAGTTTGGGTGTCAGAAGCCTAATCAGTGGACAGTAGAATTAGGAATTAGCGATATTGGAATACAAAATTTAGCTAGCTTTAGCCTTGCTTAGTCCTGACGCTCAGGTCTCGTATCAAGACTGTCTGCTGTCTTGATTGCATGACTACTACCCAATTTGCATCGTTCCTTATGGACTGTATAGACAAACTGTAAGGTAAGTGTCAGTGTTGGTGCCAAAACTTGAAAGTACCAGAGGAGCCTTGATAATGCAGTGTAGGAATATATGACATTCTAGTTCTCTTCCTGAAATAGCAAATGGCTCACCTATTACTAGCAAACAGCAAATTGACAGGCGTTGGCAATTGGACAGCTTTGAGGCCATACATTATGCTTTCCCCACAGAAGTTCCAGCACATTCAAGTTTATGTTTGGAAGTAAAAGAGACCTTTCCTCTGGGTCAGGAAACCAGAGAGCCATGGGTTGAAAGTACTTGGAACTGTTTGAAAGCCATTTGTGTACACTTAACCACAGCTTCTGCTGATATTGTAGCTTGAGTGAGCAAAAGTAGAAAGCAGAGCAGGATTTTACCTCTGGGTAAGCTAAGCCACAAGAGGTATTTTGGAGTAATCTGAAGATTGTCAGATCAGTCAAGCCAGCATTATACTGTGTCTAGGAATAACTGAAGTCACTATGCCACACTTTCATTTCTTAATGTTTCTGAAGGAATTACATGTTCATTCATACTAACAGAAAATTGTTTTCTGGAGAGAAATGAAACAAGCCTGTGCATCCAAGGGAAAAGAAAGAAAAAAGACAGGTCTTGACACCAATTTTCTTGAAGCAAAATTAACCACACCAGCCAGTCTGATGGATGAACCAGGGGCAACATCATCACAGACTTTTGGATATTTTGGACAGTCTAATTCACTCAGGAGAACAGATATATTCTCCCACAGAATCACAATCATCTGCAGTTACTGCTATCAGAGTGGAGGGCAGCAGAATTATCTGCAATCCCTTCAACAGAAGACCTTTGCAAATTGATATATAAAGCAGGAAGTTTGGAGACCTTAGATAACCCAGCTCTGAAGTAGAATAAATACTTAAAAAAATAATTCATATGATCCCCAATGCTTTTGAAAGGTGCTGGCACAAGATGATAAGCTGTTGTGCTTAATCCTTAAAAAGATGCAGGCCCAAGGTCTACAGTTCAGGTTCCCTTGCAGTGGATACCCCAAGCAACACTACCACCCATGATGTAGGGGGAGGCGTCCCTGCCCATGGCAGGGGGTTTGGAACTAGATGGTCTTAATGTCCTTTTCAACCCAAACCATTCTATGACAGGAGTTGTTCACACTTACTCCTTTTGATACTCTCTTACAGGTTTAGCCATTGTGGGTCAGCAAATAGATTTTTCACAGACATTAACCTGTTTAAACATAATTGGTTGAAAATCAATTTTTAATGAGTAAAAAAAAAAAAAAAAAAAATCCCTCCAAACCTGAAAATATGCAAGTTTCTGGAAATCTCTGGTTAGCCTGTATTAAAATGCCGTTCAGTTCCCTCACTACACTTCCTAACAGCAGAACAGGTCTACCCAACACTCACATGGTAAAATAATGCATTGGGAACAAAACTTGCTGAACAAGAGATGTGGCACATCTGCCTCTAGACAGTTCCTGACACAGAGGCATTAAAACTGCAATTTTGCCACTGAACCAGTTATCACTGATTCTCACCATGTCCCTTCACATCTCTCTCTTTCAATTCCCCTCTGGTAAATTGGTTTTGATTACTGAACTTTCAAAACCGAATAAGCAACCAAGACAGCAGACTAACAACAGTAATATGTATAAAATAAACAAGTAAGCCATATAAAAATTGTCCAGAAGTTACTGAGAGAGGCTGGTTGGCTGGAATTAAATGTAATTTTGCCAGTGTCCAGAAAGAGACACGCACAGAGACATCTCTGACTTCACATTCAGGCACTTCAGAAAACCCAGAGTTTTGTACCCCAGGAAGTTGGTTTGAACCCAGGAAATTCCCTGATAGAAGATTCCTGGCCAGCAATCCACAAGAACTTGACACACTATCATTATTTCCTTGTCTCTGACGTTCCCAGTGCTTCTCCAAGTCCTAGTGATGAAGAGGAACTGTAACCTGAGGAGAGCTACAGGACTAACAGGGAGTCACGGCACGTTCCACAGAAATGTGTTATCACTGAAGACAGCAGTGCAAGGCACAAGCAAGATAGCGCTGGATTTTCTCTCCTCTCAGACCACTGCCTCATCACAAACTGAAAGCACTTGCACAGAGAAAGGAGAATCAGAGCATCCCACCCAGAATCTACATGAAAAGCAGGAAAGATGAACAGCTCCTCTGCAAGGGCAGCGGCTGAAATTAAGACTCTTTTGCATCTGTTTTTCCTACCATGCACAACAGGAACCCTGTTTGAAGAGCTGCGCAAAGGCATGCAGGCACTGTGCTTGGACAGCTGCCATGCTTGACCTGGCAAATCACTGATGATAAAACAGCAGAGTACATTACTAAGTTTACAGACTTGCCCGGTTTCCTCTCTAGATCAACATACTATCGCCACCTCGCAGGCTTTCTCGTGAAGCAAGCTGTGATCCCAGCTCACACCAGCAACATGAAACTGTACCATCCAGCATGCTCTCCCTGATAACTCAAACTATCCACATCTACAGCCAGCCAGCGCAGCAGACTGGAAAGAGTTGGAGAAGAGCCTGACAGAAGCAGTGGCTTGTTCCTCTTGGAGACTGCAAGGCCAGAGGCAACAGTGCAGTAAAAATTGCCTCACCAAAAGGCCTTCAAACCATAGGTACCTCAAAGTACTTGCAGTCCAAAAGCTGCTGGGTGGTCAGCACCTGGTGCCAGCTCTTTCTTTTTGATTTGTGTTCTGTGGAGGGGCTTCAAAATACCACAGAAGTGTTCATTGACAAACCGCTGGCAACCGCCACAGAAATGGTGCTGCCATAAACGAGGAATGGTACAAATACCAAAGCCTCTCAGCCTTCAAATTAGATGTATATTTAGAAATTCTGTGTCAAACCATGAAATTAAAAAACCCCAAGCACTGTGGATCTCCTAGCAGCAGGAGCTGCTTTGTTGGTTGGGGCCAGCAGGGATTTGATCCCGAGGAGCAACACTCCTGCCTGCTGCTGCCTCTGGAAAGATTACATTTGTCAGACAGCGGGAGAGCTTCTGCGACACTGTGTCTCTGTTGGAACCCCTAAGGGGAAAATAGGGTCTCCTCAGAACAGACAGGAAAATTTAAGACTTCCTCTAAGAAGAAAAGAAGCAAAGCAGCAGAAATCCAAGGGAAGAAGTGGAACTATTCCTAACAATCACGATAATTGCAGTTTTGTAAGTTAGGCTGGCTAGGTGCCCAGAATGGGTAAGCAACCCCAAACCGGTTTAACTGACAAGCATACTGCAGTTCGCACTGCTCTGGAATAAAGCAAAATGACTTCCAACTTTTCAAAAATCATAGCTACAGATTCTCCCTCATCTATACTTTTTTATTTGTGTAAACTAACAAACTGTGCTCTAAGATAGTGGTGAAGTTTGATATTTCTGAAAGTAACTGTGAGGTTCAGACATAGCTGTCAGTAAAACCAAAGGGGAAGGTTAAAAATACCTTATTTAAAATATATTTACAGTATATATAAACAGCTGATAGTATGCACATAATGCACAATGTGCAGTCTGCATGGACAACTTACCCGATCAGTTTACAACATTTTGCCCACTATAAGACTTTTTTCAGTAGCTTTTTTAAATACGTTTTACTAACAAGTCACCCAATTCCCTTTGTATTGAGACTTCAAATTCAACTTTATCCCCCATCACACTGACTTAACATTGTTCCAGCAGAATTTATGAATTCAACACTTGTGACAATCAGAAGCATTTGTAAAACTACAAAACAGGGCCTGCCAGCACGGCTTTGGGAGCTTTGCTTTAGTGATTCTTGGTCCAAGATTAAGTATGATGGGAGAAACTGCCACAAGCATTATTATGGTTTTAAACAGAAGATGGAACAGTGCAATGATTTTGCAGTGTTATTTGATCTGCACAGGCTTTCCTTGCCTAGAAAGAGTTAACCTGAACAGTAGCTTGCTTTCTTTGGCAGGGACTATGCATCATCCCCTGATCAAATCTCATGAAAATACAAAATTATAAAAATGGTGTCCCTCAGGTGTACTGAGAGAACAGACAGGAGCCACAGGAAACAGGAGCCTCTGAAAGGCTGTGCACTGTATCCTTCCCCATCTTTCAGATCAGTACCGTATCCAGACACATATTTAACAACCTTCATCTCTCTCTGCTGCGTTGCCATTATCCATCAGCAACCTTGAAGCAGAGCTGTACAGACACCCAAAATAGCTTTTGACAAGGACATGTAAAATCATTCACTATCTGAAGAGGCCAGCAATACCTGTAATAGGAACACAAGGATGCTGGATTAAGTCTGGCACTCTTCTAGCTGGACCTACCCAGAGCTGCTACTATACCGCATTAAAGATCCTGTTCACACATAGATGAAGTATATACATATATATATATATAAGCATTTTTTGCTAAAATCTGCCCCAATTGATACTTACTACCTGATTTTTTAAAGTTTTATTTTCTTAATGGTCATCTTGGATCAGGAAAAAATTAGAAGTCCCTCAGGATCCAGCTTGTTTCTTATTAGGACTTTTTAATTGACTAGTTTCTCAGCCCTTGATGCTAGCTCTCCACATACCCGGAATTGTATAAATCACAATTTCATCTAATTGCGTGTTTTCTAATAAAAGAAGGTCCATTTCTATCCTAGCATTATGTCAGTATTTCTCTTTGAAGGCCCATGGAGCTGCATCTGATTCCTACTACAGTACAAAAATGACTGGAGCACAGCGATCTTTTGGTCACCTTTCACGTAGACCCTGTAGTCTCTTTTGCTGGTATCCATCTTTCCCACAAATACAACTTGATGCCTACTAACACAATGCACAGCACAACCAGCTCAAGACTTGCTGTTTATGCTAATCTTGACACTTCTCTTTTTCCCTGCCCCCTCCCATCTCAGTGCTTTATTTATTGTTCTGACTTGTGCCAGACACTGAAGTCACAGTCTGAGTTTTCAGTTTACTCACATCCCTAGCTCTTTTTCTGCTTGTATAGCTGCCTCCTCTCTTTCCTCATACACATTACTACATCTGAATAACTCTGGGTTTTTTTCATACATGCCATGTATTTACATAATGGACAACTGTAATTTCTTTTCCCTCCCCCCACTCCCCCAAAAAAAAACCTGGCAGCTCACAGCTCAGTCCTTGTGCCTTTGCACATCATCTGGGGTAATCTGGACCTCACAGTAACAGGGGGTTAAGAAATACAAAGCTTATTTTGGCTCTGTTGTGATTCTGACTCCTAGCAGCCAAGTTGCCTCATTCAAATTGTCATTTTTCAACAAAATCCACAGGCTTTAAGACCTAAATTCATCCAAAAAATACATGCAGATGAACAGGCTCCAGCCAGCTCTCTTCGTGTTGCCATGAAGCCAACATGCTAATAGCGCTTCATCTTTGCTTTCAAAAACCTCATGACAGGCTAATTAATTTAATAGTCCAGGCTTCTCTTTGGTCGGCTTCCATTCCCTTCCCAGAAAGCTTCCCCCAGCTCTTTACAATATCTTGAAACTGGTTTTCGCTATCTCAAACCATTACTGTTCTTGACAGTCTGTCTCAAGGTTTTCCATGTACCAACCTTTTCCATCACCGGGGCAAGCCAGATGCTATTGGGAGAGAAAAATACAAAATAAGGAGTGACAGACCCCTTTGGTAATTCCCCAGTGCCTCTAAAGCCTGGTAAATCTGACATTATTTTGCTGGCAGTAACACCCTCACAACAGCTACAGGGACACAATTCAACAGGCTACGTGCCTAACCAGAGTACCGTGAGGCAGGGACAAACTTTCTGAACCTTGTTTAAGATCAATCAATCAAGTTTAAAAGCATCAGACTGGCTGAAACATTGCAGTGCGTTTCTTTCTTCTTCAGCTTCCCTAAGAGCAAAATCTTTGTGCAACTTCATCAGTTTTGTCCACTACTCTTTTTTTTTTTTTTTTAATAAAACGACTGGAGGCATTGGAAGGCAAAGATGGTCTCTTTTTACATGTTGGTACAAGTGCTGGATGTAACACTGCTAGCAGACGACGGCACTTCACATTCAATATAGGAACTGGGTAGAAATTCAGTGAAGTGCTCAGAAGTTGCACTGTTTCCCTCCAAAAGTGCTACTACCAATAGTAAATCCTTCACTGAGGACATCCAGACTGTTCACGCAGGAAGGCTTTAGACAGCAGGAATCAAGCTTATCCCCTCTGTAATAAAACTGACTGTAGTAGTTTCAAACTACAGATACTGTGAAACATCTGTAGGGGTTAGAAACAAAACCAAACCAAACCAACACACAAAATATTAGTGCAGTCCACAGAACTAGTGGCCATCAGATGACGCTGTTCCCACCACTACTTCTAAGCCTACTTGCTGGCTTGTAAGTAAGGTGGTTTAACAAATCACAGTTTGCAGATTCTGGTATTTGAAGACCTCCTCTTAGAACAGGGCAGTATCTCATCTTGTTTGAGTGCAAATGGCATGAATTTAAGCATGCTTAGAGGTAAACTATTTGTTCATTAGGAAGAAAAAAAAACCCTCTGTTTTTACCAAATTCAGAACACTATGGAAGAACCTGGGATTTTGCAATTTGCCCTGAAATCATCCATCTTCACACATTCTGTGTTCTGCATGCAAGACTCTTACCAAGTTTGGAAGAAAAAAAAACACAAAAAACCAAACCAAAAATGTATCGGATCCTCTACTCTTAAAATACTGTCTCTTTTTCTATATTTCTATCTAAACAAAAATTTTCATGTTTAGTCTCAATTCAGGACCAGTTTCTAACTTCAAGTTCTCTTCTTTATCCACTTTGGCTTTTTTGTTGAAACTGAATTCAGAGGGAAGAAGTGGGGCACCACAGCCCTTTTAGAGTAGTAACTGTATGAGCCAGCACAGTTTCTTAAGAACCTGATGTGCTTCTTACCATGTCCTCACAATTTACAGGGACAAGCACCTAAAACATAACAAAATATGGCTCATGAAGCAGTTTCTATGTATTGAAAAAGACTCAGACAAACATCTATCCTATGTTACCATTGCAGTTTTCAATCCCTTAACTTTGTTTCCAAATCACATTCATTGGGTCTTTTAGCAAATGGCAGGTATTCCTGAAATGACTGATCTCACGGAGGACTGAGGGGGTGGAACAAATCTAAGCACCATGCTGGAGGCAGACCATTTGTGAGCTAAAGAGAAGTGAACTCTCAGTGCTGAGGGGCTTTGGATGACTGTTGTCAAGACTATTCACCTAGAAGAGAGGCCAAGAACTCCCCAGTTTATATTCCCTGAAATCAATCCTGCATGCTCATCCACATAAGCTGTGGCAATTGCTGGCCAAGGGCAGGATCTGGCTAGGCAAGGAAGCAGGACACTGAGCAGGATCCCTGCCTGCAGCAAAGCCCATCTCCCTGGCTGATTTCTTGATTTCAGCACAGCAAACATTTTTAGAAACAGATGCCAGTAAATCCAGGAGCTTGAGCTTTCTGAACCAACCCACCAACACATTCTGGAGTAAGAAAAGAGCAAGCTACTCTAGATTACAAAGTGCCAAAGCAGTCCTGGACAGCGCAGCCCTACCTTCTGACAGGCATGAAGAAATGTATTTTCCTCACAGCTCCTCCTCCTAGAGGTCCTCAGCATACAATTTGCTTGCTCAAGCCACGCACTGAAGAAATAGGAGAGAACAGCACCTGGATCTAAAAAAGTCTCGTATTTAGTTGAAATTTAGCTTTCTCTCCTTTCAGCCCCTAGGCAGGAAAAGTCAGTGTAGACTGTCATTCACAAAAGAAACACATCTACAGAATAAAAGATAACTTTTCCACCCAGACTACCAACACCAGCAGAGATTTGCATAGAGCATGTGTGCTTTCTTTCATGGAAGTGCCATGGCTATGCTCCAAGCTCCCGGTTCCATAAGAGCTATATAGAGAGGTTCCCACGGTCAGCAATACCTTGGGACTTGAAAGGAAACTACATAAATTCTTTGCTGTTTAAAAATGCACTCCCTTCTCTTCAGGAGAAGGCACAGAGAGGTTCCCAGGCAAAGTAACATGGGTGAGGGTGGGCTGGAAGTCCTTTTGAAGCTACATCTTACACAGCTTCCTGGAAACCATGTTAAATCCCTGCTGAATCTTGCCCTTCTAAATCCTCATGCAAGGCATGGAGCTTTGAGTTCACTCTCATTTAACTGGTCTTAGTGTCTAATGCTTTGAGCATTGCTTGGGGAATAACAAAGGAAACCTGCCAGCAAGAAGCTGAGCAAAAAGGAAAGAAAAAATAATTCTCTGATCTTTTGAGAAATGAGGGAATCAAACAAGCATTGCACTGAACCTGCAAAGTTTAAGGGACTTCTGTCACCAGGGATCCAAATCTCGCTCCTAAAACTCATGTATAATCTCCAAAATAAAGCTCTGGCTGCTTCCCACTAAATGCATCAATTTCTGCCTACTTCACATAGAACTGACATGGATAAAATGGAAGTCATAATTAATAGTGTGTCAACAAAACAATACATGAGAATTTAGTCATGTCTCTGCTCAACTGAAAGGGAAGTCCTACAGCTAAAAATCTCAGCCTTCCTCTTGGGGAGAACAGAACAATGAATCTTGCTGCAGAGTGACATATTCCAGGCAATTACAAGAGCTTCAGAGCTCAAAGCCACACTCTGAGCATGACTGAAACATAAACAGATTAGCAACTGCTAAGGATTGCTCTCCTCCCAATTTGGAAAGCATGTTCCCACTTCACTTTTGTAGCCTTTAATGATGCACAACCATTCCTCTAACAAGAAAAGCCATTTCACATTTTTACAAATATCCAAATACTTCAAGTTACCCTTAAG